GTGTGTGTGTGTGTGTGTGTGTGTGTGTGTGTGTGTGTGTGTGTGTGAATTTCGCAGTGACACCCGCGTGATCTCTGACAGACTACACTGCCAGCAGTAGAGCGCTAGAGGGCGCTATCAAATGAGTTATTGCACAACCTGTTCTGAGTACTGACGGGCCTCCCGACCAGTCGGCGTCCATCTGAGAAGTTGTCAAGGTAACTGAACCACAGGAAACGGGTTGAACTGGTTAAGAAGTTAAAGCTACCAAAAGACTCTCACTTTTTTTCCGTCATTAATGCTGTCCCGTTTATCCCCAGTAAATCGCTTTTGGAAATCTGTTTTACAAAGTAGACTATCCAGTTCTTGTCGGAGGAGAACTTTAATGTGCGTCTGTAACAGTCCATGGGCTTTATTGTAAAAGTCATCACCGGAAATAGATATCCTATTTGACCTAACTTGAAACTGGTATCTTCGGGATAGGCCATAATAACCACCCAACAAGGCGTTGTGCTACTATTGGGGAAATACCGAACCGAACCGAAGATAAAAGCGGTTTTGGTTGACTTCCTGATAGACATTAAGACTGAAAAATCCCCGCAAAGTCGATGCGAGTGGAAATGACTGCATATCGAGGGTTTCAAATGGACGTTGACGTCGAGCCGTGCGTAATGAGCAGAGTTGGAAAAAGAAGGTGTTGAGCTGCATTTTTTTTCTCCCTCTGCCACAGACAAGTTGGGTCGGAGTGCTGCCGAAAACTACAAGGTGATAGGAAGAAAAAAACTAATGCCCACGAAGCTCCTCGGTTTATGGTGAGTATCTTTGAATGCTCGCTTTTCAACAGTTGCTTTGCATCTTGCTCGAAGTAAATTGCCGTTTTTCCGAGATGTAAAGTCAAAGCGACATAGATAGCTTACCCTTAGCCTCTGAGGATATGCCACTAATTACAGGGCTGTGGTTATTATGACTGTTCTGACTGGGCTGTCGCAAAATGTTTGGACGTAACTTACAGTTTTTATCGGCCAAGAAGGATTTTCCACTGATTTCTTTGGCCCTTGGAAGCACTTTTAACCCCGGCTTCCGTTAAGCAGCGATAGCCCACTAGTAGCCCACAGAGCAACAATAGCGTCGTGATAACGATAGGCTAACAAAGCCTTTTCAAATGATTGATTTACTCATACTAGGTTCTCGCAAAAGGAGAACCTCTCTTTAATTTGTTTGGTCAGATCGTAGAAAAGTTTAGGATGAATGTGGATTTCCACTTTGCCGAGGGACCTACATGTTGCTGGTTACCTCCTCTGTGTCAAAGAGTTGTTGACAGGCAGCAAATAGATAGTTTCTGCAATCTGCAACAATGTTTAAGGATTCATTGGAGTTTAGAAGACATAACTTTCAATGATCCACAAGGTGTATGATAATTTCTGCAGATTTTTGGATAACTGTTTTGTATTGTGAAGGCATCCTATATTTCTTATATGACATTGAATCCCATAGTTTTTCTCTTTAGTTCTGTTTTTGTGCAAAAATCTTCCCAAAGGATTTTGCAAGCAGTGTCTAAGATGTGTCACTAAATCTTTTAAGTGGTAAAGAAGCACACGCAGGCAGTGTTAATCCTACAGTAATCTCACTGAAATTGTGGGTACAGCTCAAGTCCTCATAAACGTGACCTGTGAACGTCCCTTATCTTTTGTAAAAATGTGCTCCTCAGCATATTGGCTTCTAAATTCACCAGGTTAAGTATTTGTGTCAGTCCTCCAGGCATGTATAATGACATGTAATTATCAGTTACATGCTCTGGAGTCCATGCCTGGCAAGAAAGGCAGTGAACTTGCTAATACTTGCAACAGAGTAATAGGGAGTTAGCTGGACTTTGTCCTAGATGCTGTTTACACTGGCCAGTTAGATAGAGAATGCAACTATAAGCTCCGATAACTCACTGAAAATGAGCACATTGTTTCTCTGAGTGGCCATTCTCTGAAGATCAACTGTTTGTTGCTGTGTAGTCACTCGTCTGTGTGCACTTATGATCTTGTTGAATGTTGGTTTGCAAGCACACTGACAGCATGGCATTCATCTGCTCTGTTGTCATCATAATTGCTCACCCAAAAGTCTCAAAGGAGACAGCGTGATAATGTCTTGGATGAAAAAAATGTAGGTGTTTGGTTTTGTGAATCGTGGCTTGGGGAAGAAAATGTAATCAGCTGACAACACAGTCAGTGAAATGTCAAATATGCAGCAGCACTGTTTATATTGTTGGTTGACACAGGCTAATCCAGAGACTGCTCACTGTGAGTCATCATTGTGGAGACCTTTGTTTCCTCTATCTGTTTCAGTCATTTCAGTGTGATGTCTGTTTTCTAACCCATTCCTGGTCCCACTGTTTGCTGGCATAGTATAATAAGCCGAATAGCCTGAATAAATAGCGATTATATAAAAAATACTGCTGAAATAAGCAGCCTTTCCCTGAATACTTCCCCGTAGTTATCATCATTTCACAGGAGATTCTGTTCGCCATCCACCTGCAGTCTATGGGATGTGTGCCGTGGACACATCAATACCATAGAGGTCATTCTTTGTGAGAAAGCTCTGGTTTCTGCGCATTGCTGTATTTTATTTTATGACCCTTTCGGAGCACCTGTGATGATATCAAATATCCCTGTATCCTAAGAGTCAGACTGTCTTTAATTACTGTCTATTTTTGAACTGCCGGCTTTGCAAAGCACATAAAGGTCAGCTCTTCCCACAGGTCATGTAGCAGGTTTTGTGATAGCTAAATTGTTCCAAAATCATATATTTTCCTTTGTCTTGTGAGTCTGGAGAGCAAACTGTCCTTTCTGTGGCTGTACTTTAAACATGAAAGCTCAATAATAAAGACCATTTATTTAAAAAGCTGCGTATGTGAGAGCGTAAAGAGCACTGTGGAGTCGATGTGTGCTTGCAGACAGGACGGTGTTGTGGGATGTATTTCAGTGTTTCTGCTGCTAAATGTTGCGACCGGTTCCCTGCCTTCTCCTCTTCAGAAGATTAGTGTGTATGCCACTGAGGCTAATAAAGCCGTCTGTGAAAATGTGGCCATAACTTTATTCATTAAGTTCACAGCGCAGCAGAAAAAGAAAGAAGCTCACCTTACCCAAAGGAGTTTTTACCTAAATGTCTAATCGTGAAGTCTCACTAAGGCATACACGAAATATGACTTATGTGGTTTCACTGTATAAGATTTGGTCTTTAGGGGAACATTTCATTATGGGTTTTAATGAAATGATACAAATATAACTGCCAAATTTGTGGGATGTTTAGAGATAAGGAGACCTACACACCAAGATCATCTGTTTTCTTCACCCGTGATGAAGAGATCCACATAAAAGATTGATTAAGTGCCCTGTAAGTCATTTGAATAATACATTGGTTTTGTCCAGGTGCCAAATGTTTTAGTGACAGTTTTTTCAAAGGCTATGTTTGTGTTTTGTAAACCCTTAAAAAAATGGGGGGGAGGATAAATCAGTCCATAGAGATGATTTGGGGAAAAGGTGCATGAGTGGTTTGAAATGGTGCATTTGTCTGTTTGTGGATGTGTGTGGTGGGGGCAGGGAGTGTCTCCTGTCACCTCTCATTAGGGACGCATAGTCCAGCTCGGCCGGCGTCTGCCTTCCCCCGTCTGTGGCACTCCCCTGCTCAGCTTCCAACACCAGCACAACAGAGCAGCTCACTGTTTGTGTCTAAACTGCAAAGTGTCTCAATGTTTGCCCTCACAGGGATTATGGCAGAGTTGCTTCTTATTGAAAAGTATGACTTAGGTCTCAGTGGAAATAGCCATCCTAGATTATGCTTTAAGAATTCTGCACTGCAGTTAAAGTTAAATTTGGCTCAGTCTTTTGAAAGGGTTAAAGCTGCCTCCCTGTAGAAGTCACTGTATTATTCAACTCATGTGTCGATAACTTTGTTTTATTCCGTCGCGACTTTCTCCTTTGAAGACCTCCACCAGCAAGTCTGCCTTTTGTAAACAGGACAGGATTTATCTCAAGGGCTTCTTCCTCTTTCCTGCATATTCAAATTCAATTTCTAATTTTGTCCAAATGAATTCCCTGTGAAGGCAGCGGTTGTTTAAAGCAGTCTAATGAAATAAAGATTAACCAACATTTTTATTGTGCGACTGCTTGGTGACTGTTTGTGCATGTGGAGAAAGAGGTTGTGGTTTTCCATCGAGCCCTTGGGAGACTGTGGAGTGCTGCTCCACAGGGACAGACACAGTGATTTATTAGTATGGTAGGCAGGAAAAACTACCAGGCTGAGATAAAACAGATCTCCCATCACACTCCAGTCCCCAGTCTCTGAGAAAAGAGACAGAATCACTTTAAATGTGTGCTCTTTTCCCTTTTTAATTCAGTCATTTAAAGGTTACATTTCCAGGCGTTTTAACTGTTTTTATGAAAGGCCACATTCAAACAAAGCTACGCAGCGTCTTAAGAGCAAAGGAAGCTTAGGAAGCTGTCTCTCTGCTTTAGAAAATGGTGCACATTTGTGATCATCAGCCCACTTGCTTGTATAAATATAGCCAGTTATACTCAGTTTTCAATTATTAGCGTAATTAGTTGAGAGTATGTTGAGTTAATGAGGGCCCCCATTTTCTTTGAAATCAAAGACATGGTGACAGTACTAAGAAAGAGGACAGAAAAACTGCTCTGACTGCCATGGCTGCTCCCACAGCTGACAACAGTAAGCCATTGTAATTACTGTGTATACCTGATTTATGCTGCTCACTTCTTTTGGCATCTTAAACACAGCAGTTGACTTTTAATCATTTTTCTGGTCGCTCTGCTGCTTGAATCAACAGCTTCTTATCAGGCATCTTGTCCTGTAGAATTAGCGTCACATTAAGTGATTTACATGAGCTGCTGTTGAAGCTCATATCATCTGCCACAGCACTGATAAGTATGCCAAAGGCTATACACCAGGCCATTATCTTTATTCATGTCACCTGTGCTTGAAATTGTCCACTGAAAATAAGTCAAAACAGAATTACTGTTCTGGGTTACATCAGGCACTAAATTACCTGCCAAATCGAAATGTTATATTACGTGGGATATATCACGGTGTATTTAATAGAAGAAATAAAAAGTTAGCGATAGAAAATTCACTACTTTGACGAAGCACTTGTGGTGATTGCAGGAAGCGCCACAACGCAACCCTAATAGTACCATCAATTTTGCGAGAAGGAACAGAATGGCTTAATATACATAAACCATACATGGTTTTCTGTTGACTGAGCGTACAGTCAAAAAGGCTCCACTGCGACTGGGTACTGAAAAACCTGTTATTAACTTTAAGAGCTCATGGTGGACGATTCAAACATTTCATTGAGCCTTGTCACATTTGGAATTTTCAAGACAGTTCAGCTATGATCAAGCACATAGTCTGTCTGTTCTGGCATTAACTGAATAAAGATATATTTAAGATAATGCATCATTACGGCTGAGTTTTTAACAGAACTCTTCATAATCAATGATGAGATTGATGCGTTTTATTTCTTTTCCAGAAAACAATTTTTCGCTTCAATATAGATGCACTGAAGATATTTTCAATCCTTTTATTGGTTTGCAAATTGAGCTTCTAAAACGGAAGACATTAGTGACAGTGAACTGTGATGTGCTCGGGCGTAAGCACTTGTGAAAACCACACTGCAGCTGCCTTAGATTTGTAGTTGACTGTCAGTCTGTTTCCTGAGTGCAGGAAGAAGAAGTTTCTATTGACTAAAGTCACTGTTGAAGATCATAGAGAAATTCTGAACGGAGTCTTCAGATGACAACTCCCTAAGGTCAAACTTCAATAAAACCCTTCAGACTTCAGGCCTCCAAAACAACTAAGATGACTATGACTCATCACTGAAATCAATGTGGCTTAACGGGTGGGATAGATAGAGGTTAACCTGTTTAAACTCTTCAACATGATCCCTAGTTGTTTTTCATCGTCCATATGGTCCAAACTCATCATGTTGTAACCTCTCTAAAATGTTATTTAGCAAAGTGCAATCACTCTTTGGCTGAACTGTCTTTCTGTGTTTTTGTGTCCTCTTTCATCTCTCTCCCGCCAGGCATGGCAGACTGGGCCTGGAGCTCTGAGGATGCTTCATAGGATCTGTGCCTGACCCACAACTTAGGACCGGTAGGAATACGTTGTCTGAGCAGAATGACTCAGCAAGAGGGGGGACCCCCAAAAAGCAAGTGAAGAGACGTGAGGATGGGTGCCAATGGATCCAGCTATCCACACTCATGCTCCCCACGCATAGGGGGAAGTGCACAGGCACAGCAGACTTTTATAGGTAAGTTAATTAGGAGCTCACTTTGCAGACAGGATTTTAAAGTAGGGCTCTTATTCCTGGTTCTGAAAGTGCCAGTGGGATGTGATGCAGCTGCACCAGGAAAATAAAGTCACTTCTGATTCTCTCCTTTCTTCTGTAAGCTCACAGTGGAGTGTATATGTGCTTATCTGTTTAACAAAAATCTGTTTAAAAAAAAAAAAAACTGTTGCCATGAACCCAATTGGATATCCACTTGTGCTACAAATGCATACTAATGGGGTCTAGCATGGACAAAGTGACACTTTAGATTAGATTAACCTGCTTCCATGGCAACTAATGGTTCAGTAGGTGAGTATTTCTGGGCATAAGAGCTCTTGAACTGGGACATTGACTCATACAATTGACACAAATGCAGTAAAAAGCAGTACCAATCCCTTTACTCTGCTATATGGACTCGTAGTAGTATCATTAGAGGCAGATGAATAATGGGGAGGGGGGGGGGGGGAACTTCTTTTTTTTCTTTTGAACAGAGCTATGGTACTCTTAAAATATTTATAATCAGACTTTGTTGTGATTTTGTCAGGGATTTTTTTATATGCTTATTTGCTGGACTTTTACTTTTTTTGTTGCTGTTGAAACATTTAGTGTAGTTTATTATAATAATTATTATTTTAAAACTGTTCATCTACTCGAGATACGCACAGAATCCTGTCAAATTTGACTCTTATTAACAGAGAACCTGCTTGTCAAACAGTACAGACAGATTTGGGAGGTATTTATTTTCATGTTATTTTCAATTATTGTTATTTGAAGAAAGGGGAAGAGTCAATTTTATGGGTCCCCAGCGCTTTGGGCTTTACAGAAACGCTGCAGACCTCAGTTTGAATTTGAAATTATTCCCTGAAACACAAGTGTTGATTTCTTTTTAAAAATGATTCAACCTAGGTTTATATGGAGTTTTACTTAAAAAAATAAAGTATTGCTAGAAGCCAAATGATCTCTATAGCTACCAAGACCCCGTTGGTTTCCTGGAAGCTCTGTGGCTGCTTGGTTGAGTTAGCCTAAACCACAGATGAATCAATGTGATGCATAGTTATTATTTGGGTCATACTGTTGGATGTCGAGAGTGGACCAGGCAAAGAGTATCTCCTTGGCAGAGCTTCCTCTGACGTGCAAATCCTGTTTTTCAAGCCAAAGTTAACTGCCATACAGTGTTGTAGATTTGATCTAAATATGAGAAATGACTGAAGTTCATAAAGTAGGGCAAACTTATAATTGGTTCCTTGCCCATTATGAACTATGCTTTGCTCTAAAACGAAAGAAATGGGGATAGTTTCTATGTTTTCATTATTTTTAAGAGCCATAGTGCTGTGGTGGTGAGGTCAGGAGAGTGTGTGCTCTGTGTAACAGAGCTGGAAGCATCACAGGGGTGCCAGAAAGGGGTCATTTGCTACTGTATACTCATGGTTAGATATATAGGAAAAACACTAATTTCAGCAGATAGAATGTCATATTTATATGTGACCTTAATTGTTGTTATAGACAAAAATGAAGCCTTTTTGAACTTGAAAGAAGCACAGAAGTACTTGTATTAGTTTGCACAGTTTGTTATGAATTTACCCAAACATACACAACACCCAGCAAAGGTGGGCATCTCCTCAACAATTACTATGACAATGAAGCTGTTACAAACAAAACATGGGGCTATGATACATAAAGCTTTAAAGTTTCACTTTCCAAAATAGAAGGAAGAATAAATGTCTCTTTCGAACATGTTGGAGCTACAGGGTGGTTTAATTGATCAGTTAATCGGTGCTGCACAGTGAAGCAGCGCATCACTGATGCACAACCATCACTTGCTTCAAGAACAAGTATCCCTCACGATCCCCTCATTTTCCACAGCACTAGTGATTTAAAAGTTAATAATTGCATAGCAGTGCCTATTGCATTTAAGGAAAGTGGAAGTTAGTTTCTATTTTTGCTGAAAAATGTCTTTATATTCATTATTTTTTTCTGTCTAACTGTCACTTGTTTTTCCCAGGAACATCTTCCTACTCTCAGCAGGGATATGGCTGGGAGTCGAAGCTGTATAGCCTGGAGCATGGCCATGAGCGACCCACAGACAGGAAGAAGAAGAGTCTTGGTTTAGCAACTCTCAAACGGAGGTTCATTAAAAGGAGGAAGTCCAGCCGCTCAGCAGACCATGCGCGGCAAATGCGTGAGCTTTTATCAGGGTGGGACGTCCGTGACACAAACGCCCTGGTGGAGGAGTATGAGGGAACTGCAGCCCTCAAGGAGCTCAGCTTCCAGGCCAGCCTGGCTCGGGCTGAGGCTCCCAGCTTGCAGCGTGATCTCGCTGCTCTCTACCAGCACAAGTACTGCACGGATGTAGACCTCATCTTCCACGGTACTTGTTTCCCAGCCCACAGGGCCATCCTCGCTGCTCGCTGCCCTTTTTTCAAAACTTTGCTTTCTTCATCGCCTGGTTATGGGGCAGAGGTTCTCATGGACATTGAAACGGCTGGAATTGATGTTCCCATGTTTTCTGCCCTGCTCCATTACTTGTACACTGGGGAATTTGGGGTTGGGGGATCAGAAGATACCAGGCTGCAAAACGTGGATGTACTTGTCCAGTTAAGTGAGGAGTTTGGCACACCCAACTCCCTGGAGGCAGATATGAAAGGATTGTTTGACTACATGTCCTATTATGACGCTCTGCTCAGCTTCTCCACAGACTCTGAGATGATAGAGAGCTGTAATGAGAGGGGGGCTGTGGCTCCAGCACCGACAGGGGGATCAGGAGGCAGCGGGGTCCCGGGGACCCCCGATGAAGACCTCAGGGCGCACAAGGCAATCCTCTCAGCACGCTCCCCTTTCTTTAGGAACCTTTTGCAGAGACGTATTCGCACAGGGGAGGAAATGACAGAGCGAACATTGCAAACACCCACCCGAATAGTGCTGGACGAGTCCATCATCCCACGGAAATACGTGCAGGTTATTCTTCACTGCATGTACACAGATGGCGTTGAGCTGGGACTGGTACTGCGTGGCAGCCCTTCAGCGGGCAGCCTTGGTGAGGTCCAAGCCCTTGTTTCAGGCGGCCGTGGCGCCAGTACTCGCACTGAGGAGGCCATGGAGCTGTACCATATTGCTCTATTCTTAGAGTTCAACATGTTGGCTCAGGGTAAGTCATATGCACACTGTGATACTCAAAGACACAGAAACATTGATTGCAATCTCTTTAAACATGGTATGCAAGTCCAATTGTTGATATCACTGTTGTGGTGTTTGCACTCATTAATTTTTTTATTTGATTTTTTTCTAAATGCGATGAAGAAAATGATACAACCAGCTTTTGAGAATTGCGTGCTATGCAATTTCGTGTGTTTTCATTCCTTAATAATGACTTCCTTCCTGTTCACTGACTAAAGAAATCTCAGAGCTGTCAAGGTCTCACCCACAAATTGCTTAAAACCGACTGTGAAAATGTTGTAGGAAAGCCTTCATTGGGAATTTTTAAGACAGCTTGCTTGTCCAGTTTCTCATAATTACAGTGTCTAGTTCAATGGTCTCAGTTCTGTCAGCTGGATTTGTGTTGGCCACTATCATCTTTGTGTTCGAATCATTTGGGTTCTCTGATGTTTTCCCTTCAATACGACTGCAGATCAGGGATATTGTTGTTGACGGTGTTGTTGACAGTGTTGATTATTAGGACCCTGGCTAACACGAACATATTGATGCAAGCTGGAGGGTTTGTCTGTTTCTGTGAGCGAGCAGATTACTGTCTGGCACATGCAGTCCATCAGAGCCCGTCAGCACTTTATTGCTGGTCTATCTTTACTTGGGTTACAATGTATTTTTCACTATTGCCACTGTTTCAGAGGGGCTCCTTTAACATGCAAAACTTTACAGCCTTTTGACTTAATCCAGCTGTTTTATATGTAGCACCTCATCCAAAATGAAATTTCTGAGGACTGTGCTGTCTCAAACACACTTTTAAAAATTTAATTCAAGGGAATTTGTAATATACATTTCTTGAAGCTGTTTGTTTTGACTCCATGGCATAGTAGTGAACATTGCTGGCCTGTCAGGACCTTGTTATTATTGTATCCATAGTTTACAAAGACATGATGATAAGAGTTAGTTCAGTGGTCATATGAGATGCATTGACTGATTTCACTTGGTGTTCCAGTGCGTTATGCAATGTAATGGAGTCCAGGATTATTATTTATTCATCTATCATCATCATGTAATGTCATCAAATGTTAAATATTGTTTCTATTATTTATGCATTTGCATTGTTTTGGAACAGAATTTGTGGACATGGAAGTTTGTCTGAAAATGTGTTTTAAAAGTCCAGGTGCTCTCCTATGCATTCCACATTAACTATGTTGACCAAAGGGTTGAAGACCAACCAATGACGTAAGACCTCTGCTGTGATCTGAACAGCACTGATCTTGCACACAGCTGATGAGACGCCACCTTTCACAGTCAAGCATAGGGTTTCTCTCTCAGGGTCACTCTGGAAGATTAAGCTTACAAGCAAGCAAATGATGTCACCCCTGCGCACCATCACCTCTTCTTCCCTCCCACCCCACCTTCCACAAGCTCCTACTCCGGTGTATTTTTATGCTCTGTGCTTCATCTCCTTCTGTTGTGCTGAGATAATATCAGTTCCCATGAAACCTTGGTGTGAATTGTACTGAGAATGCTGAGGTTGACCTGTGGTCATTTCATTGACTCTCTTAATTTCCCTTCCTCTGGACATTCCTGTTTGTTTCATTCTGTATTTGAAAACCTTGTTAACCCCAACTATGATGTTATCTTGCCAAACGTGGATCAAATGTGAAACTAGAAATTTTTCTTGGGTCCATCCCTGCTGCTCAAACCTAAGTAACTGCCACGTTTCTTTAGGACACAGCAGAGAGGCTTACGTCAGAGGTTTCAGGAAGCCCCCTAATCTGTCACGCACTCAATGTGCTTCTTTACTGCTTTGCTCAAAATGTATGACGTTCTGGCCATGGGGCTTTTGGTAGAGCGTATTAATTCTTAAGACTTGCATCCCTTTATGACTCCATCTCTTTCCAAATGATGGCCAGAATTAAAAGCCTTATTAATTTTTAAAGTGCGCTGCAGAGCCAGTGTGGTTTCTGTGCAATACCTTCTCTCCCTGCTTTCTGACTGCCTGACTGATGCTTCCAGAACCCCATCTTGTTATTTAACTGTGTTGATTGAGGTCACAGTTCTAGAATAATCATCAGAAATTACTAACATATGCAAGGTTGTTTACCACAGATTGGTGCTTTAGATGTTTTTAAAATGATCAAAAATTCAACCACACTTATCAACATAGCTGGAAAAAGCAGTATCCGTGACAGTGTTTGTGAACGGCTTTTGTGCTATGTGGGCCATGGTAAACAATGGGGATGGACCGTTTACTGTAGTACCTCTTTGTGCCCCTAGATGGGATGTAAGTCATCGTAGTATCTCATTTTTCATAGGAGCAGGAAAGGAAATTGAGTTATATGGAGCTTGAAGATGAGTAGAAGTTGGTGAAGCTTCTAGCCAGCAAGATTCAAACTTTACCGCTGACTCCCATCCCTAAAAAGAGCTGTCGCGAGCCGCAGTGATCCAAAATGAGGAGAGATTTGAACTGAAATGCGATGCGGAATCCTTCATTTGGACTCGTAAAAGCTTGTAATAATAATGTTGTATTTATGATGTTGTTTCTCCCCCCAATGCTGAATTGTTACGTATTTAGAAAAAGTCCTGTGAGTTGCAGAGCCTCCTCTGTTGGTAAGAGCGATTTATAGTAGAAATGTAGTCTTATGTTATTGTACCAATGGAACAATACTTGTAAATATATTGTTCAACCAAACTGGTATGAAACTTAATTTCTCCTAGCCTGACTAAAACACCAGATAATGCACTCACGGTTAATATTGCGTTTAGATGTTTAACTTGGCTTTAAATGGGCAAAAACCATGAACATGCTTCAAAGTTGAGGTAATTGTGTAACTAGTATTGTAGTTGAATGTTAAACCCTCTTTTTGTTAGTTGCTTTGCATAAAGCATCTTCTAAATGCATCTTCTCAATGCATAAACGTAGTTTAATCTTTTCATTGTCTGTGCAAAACAAACATTTCAGATGTATATTAAATCAGCAGAATTCTCAATGTTTTTGTTACTTTCATCAGATGAAACAAACTGGTCTGATAAAAGTTAACAACAAAGTTGTTTTTTTTTAAATCAACCTTGAAGCTATTTGGGAACCCTGTTTGTAGTAATGGCAGATCACCACACAAATACAGCAAGACAGTTAGTGTAGAGCTGCTATTTGCTGTTGTGATGATATTTTTGTCAGTCTGCTGAGTTCTAGTGAATACGGTATGCCACCTATGGAGAGAACAGGAGGGGGTATGGTATTAGATATGATGCTGATTCTTATCTCCACCTCATAATAGAAGTGCTGTGTTTTAAAACGCTGGCTGTCGCTGTGAATTCTAACGGGCTAACACACAGCAGAGCTGTTTGCCTTCCAGTGCTGCTGGTCCCGAGTGGGGAATTGTCTTCCTCTGTGGGGGTAGCAATGTGTCTGCTTTCATAAGAGAGGAACAGATGCAAAGGTTAAAAAAAATGGAATGAGTGCAAATACTTTGCTGAGGATAGACAGCAAAGGTGCCTGTGATGGACAAAGAGAGATGGATGATGAGTCTGTTCTCTCTTCCAGTTGGCTGATGGCAGATAGAAAAGGGCAAATGCAGTGGACTACATTTCAGCGTCATTTGTCTTCTAAATGAAATGGGATCATTACCCTCAAACTCTGAGAGGGTCTGCTTTGTGTTTCTTATTATTATAGGTAAAGATGGCCAAAAAAGAGAGTGCATAAAATTGTGCATCTAATTGCACATCTACGTGATTCATATGCTCGTGCATTACTCCTAAAGTGTAGACATTCTGATCTTAAATGTGCTCACACAGCGCGGGTGGACTTTAAGCTTTCGATTCAAAAGCATCACTTGGGGCATCCCTCTGAAGTCCGGTGTCCAATTTCTCTGAGCGTATGTTCAAAGTGGTTGTTAAGAGCCGGAAGGGCTGCTTAGATTTTCTGTATTTAGATAAGATTTTCCCACTGGAGCTCTGCCACTGGCCCAGCCATGAGCTGATGGACATGGCGACCTGGAATGAGGCAGACTTATATTTCAGTTCAGGGAGATCTGACTGGACACTTTGTTTTAAATAGATTTATTTTTTTGTCTTAAACATTAACTGCCAGAAAGTGGCTTGTAATAAGCACCACTGAAGCGCTGGTTTGTTGGGGACTGGCATTAATGTGCCTAACCAAACAAATCGTATGCTAATCTAAATGGACATTGAGGAGTTTAATTCTGCTGAAATGGAACCATTTCAGATTTATTGGGACTCTGAGTGCCAGAGTTGGCTGAATTTGCAAAGCAGGCTTCTTTTTTGAATGGCAAGAGCAGCAGGTACATAATTCCATAAACCTTCTGTGGCTTTTTAATGCATTTTTGATTTATGCACACAAGTATGTACACATTTGCAAAGTGTGTGTGCTGGCGCACCAGCAGCCCATTTCCTCAGGCTCCTGTGTTTACTTAACACGGTGAAGGGAAGGCAGCTTGAGACTGAAACACATCAAGGTATCAAAGGCATTTATGTGGGTTGGTTTGTTGCAGGGTAAAGCCACTGCCTGCTGTTCTGGTATGTGCTCTGATTTAGGCAACACAGCATGGAGGATGTGGGGGCTACTACAAGGAGTCTCCCTGGGTCAGTGAAAAAGAATCACAGCTACTGAGGGTTTGGCAATGGGGCAAGGATCACGTTGTGCACTTTGACATTAGTTTAGCTCACAGTGGTTTTATTTGAACATTTGTTCAATTAAGCATATTTGTCCCCAAATGATTATGATGCATTTGCTCCCACAGATTGACCAGATTGAATATCAGGATGTGAAACGTTTGCCTTTCTCATTGAATCTCACAGGCTGTGAAGACATCATTGTGGAAAGCTTGTCCCTGGACTCCCTCGTCCCCATTCTCAAGTGGAGCTCCCAGCCGTACGGCTCCAAGTGGGTCCACAGGCAGGCGATGCACTTCCTCTGCGAGGAGTTCAGTCAGGTCGTTACATCTGACGTCCTCTATGAGCTCAGCAAAGAGCACCTTCTCACCGCAATTCAGTCCGACTACCTACAGGTAAGATTTCATCACCTCTCAGTTTGTGATCATCTCTGGACACCTCACAATGTCGAACATTTCATTAGCGGGTGCCTAACCTGCTCACAGATAATTGCCTTTGGAGCTATGCCTGTATTAGCGTCTCTGCCTCAAAAATGTTAAGTCTTAGTTTCATGTACAATCCTGATATTAAAATTGAACAGCTGGGTACACTGAGTCTCCAGAGTTGACAAGCACTTTTCCCTCAAGGGACATGCCTTCAAGCCCAGAATTCAATCAAAGCAGAGTTTTCATCTGCACTGCCAACTGAGTCAGTCAGCAGATGGTTGAGGTGAAGAGTTGTAATGAAACTACATAAACAGGCCTGAGTGTTGCTTGAGCAAAGCCTTAAATGTATATTTTCACCTTATCCTCATTCAACAGCTTACAAGGTCTGTTCTCCAAAATATCCACCCTTGTCCTATTAATAATTTTTCTGTCTGTCTTCTCTCTGTCCTATTTTTTCTGTCTTTCTCTTTTTTGTGCCTTGGTTTCATTTACAGGCGAGTGAACAGGACATTCTCAAGTATGTTGTTAAGTGGGGTGAGCAGCAGCTTATTAAGAGGATGGCAGACAGGGGTAAGATAATACTCACTATAATTACCCTTTCAGCAGCCCCCTAATTGCTCTGAGGAAATTGCCTACTTACCAGGTCCCCAAAATACACTAAAAGGAAAAAAATTAACCAACTTAACCTTTTAAATGACATCAACGATAAAGTGTCTCATTATTCCTGTTGGGTACTTTAGCGTAATGATAAACAAGGTCTTAATAAGGTCCATGGTCAAGTGTATTAGTCATCATTTTGGAAAGGTTTCAGAACATTGATGATGTTGCACGCAATGCTATGTTTATCTACAATTCATTTAATTCTACTCAATGTGGGGAAAAAAGCCAGCAGGTTAGAAACTTATTAGCTTTGAACTTGTAATCATAGTTGAATAGATTATCATAGTCCTATGCATTATATTAAAAGCTGCTAATGGCTGTTCATGTCGGTGTTGATCCAGAGCCCAACCTGCTGAGCGGCACAGCCCACAGCGTTAACAAGAGGGGAGTGAAAAGGAGAGACCTTGACGTGGAGGAGCTGAAGGAGATCCTGTCCCCCCTCCTTCCCTTTGTCCGGACTGAGCACATCTTACCTCCTAACAGTGACGTCCTCGCTGACACGGTCTGTGTCCTTTCTTCTGTCCCCGATGTGCCAGTGTGTCATTCTGACCTTCATGCTGTAGGCTTAACTTTGACCCTTAATGTTCATACTGTTCACAGCTTAAGAGGGGTTTGATCAGCACCCCTCCTTCAGACATGCTGCCCACAGCCGAGGGGGGCAAGGACAATGCCTGGTTGCGTCAGAAGAACGCAGGCATCTATCTGCGTCCTCGCCTCTTCTCTCCTTACGTGGAGGAGGCTAAGGTGAGGCTCACCAGAGAAAGCCCACAAACAGGATGAAACTATCCATTCCTATTTATGCTATGCTTACTTATAATGTGGAATTTAATAATAGCCTTCACCCCCTTGAGTCAAATTAGTTGTTTTTTTTCTTTTTTCAAATGTAACTAATGACTTCTAGACCTTTCCAGGGCCATGAATATTAATTAACACATCCTTGGACTAGTAAGAGTCATTATTAAATAAGTGTCAATCAAGTGGAACAAAATGTCATGTCCCTGAGTTTCACATGGACACTTTTTGTATATTTATCCTCAGTCTCTGCTTGATGAAATGATGGTGGAGCAGACAGATCTGGTACGTTTGCGACTAGTTCGCATGTCCAACGTCCCTGACACGCTCTACATGGTGAACAATGCTGTGCCCCAGTGCTGCCATATGATCAACCACCAGCAAATGGCAGTCAACTCAAACACCGCACCATCAGTAGTGGCAAATGAAATTCCAGGTATGAAAGGAGAGCTACAAAGTTACTTCAATAATATGAGAAAATATAAACAAATCACACTCAAGAATCCTTAAATACAATTATATTAATTTGCCTCTGAGACATGCAACAATGTTTGTCAATGAGCCTCTTTAGTGTTGCAGTAAAACAATGAAAACAGTGCATGTTGTTTGCATTTTTCAGTGCCCCCACTGACTGTGGTGAAAGACATGATCCGGAGGTTGCATGAACTGAGACACACAGAGCAGGTCCAGAGAGCTTATGCCCTCAACTGTGGTGAAGGAGCCACGGTCAGCTATGAGCTGCAGCTGCGGGTGCTGAGGGAGTTCGGTCTGGCAGACGGAGCAACTGAGCTGCTTCAGGTAAAGAGGATGTGACACTAACGGAGTGACAAGGCAGAAGGCACAGCAGAACAGAACTTACAAATCCAGTGCTTGTCAGTATGAAAAACTTGCATGTTGACTCATTTTTCTGACGCTGTTTTTTGTTTTTGTCAGAACCCATATAAGTTCTTTCCAGATGAGCGGTTTGGAGATGAAAGTCCAATTCTGGCCCTGCGCCAGGTGGGTCGCTGTCGTGTAAACAGTAGTCCTGCCATGGACAGCATGTTCACAGAGCTGGAAGGGGTAGCAGGCTTCCACCCACCCCTACCTCCTCCACCTCCCCCATACCACCCCCCTGCCACACCCAGTCACGCCCAGCTCAAGGGTGCCTGGCGACCTCGTGTGCCCATGCCGACCCCCACACGTTCCTTCTCCTACCCGTGTAACCGCACTCTGGTCCAGCGCCATGCAGCCTCCAAGCATGGCAGCTCAGAGTACTCCTCTGTACCCAGGTCCCAGCCCCCAGACTGCACCAACCCTCAGGCTATGGGCCGAGCTTTGCTTTCAGACCAGCAAGCGGTGAGTTTGTGTGTGAGGCTGCATGTGGTTCTTGTACTACCTCTGTCTACATTTACCCAAATGCCCTTTCTCGTCATTTCCCCGCTAATGAATATGTTGACATTCAGCCAGCTAATGTTACTGTGGCTGTTCTCTTCCAGATGAGCATGGATCCTGTTATGAGGGAGTTCATGCCTGACATTGCGCTTGGTGTCTCAGTCATGTCCCTGAGGGACAGGGATAGCCCTCACAGCCCCATGGGCCCTTCAGGCCATCACCTGCCACACGGGCCTTGCCCTTCCCACCTCAGCCACAGTCATGGTCCTGGACATGGCCACTCCTGCAAGAGACATGCTCCTGAACCCAAGCTGGAGGCTCAAGCTGAATTCCCTGACCTGTACGACTTTTCCTGTCGACCTCAAACGCCGACCTCCTCTCATCCCCTGCCCTCCTTCACAGGACCAGACCTCTACAGCCACAGCTGCACCCCGTCTAGCTCCTACCCTCCTCCTTATGTTTCGGACTGTCAGAGCCAGGGGCACTCGCAGGGACGGACTGCCACAGACTCACTACGACTGGATGTCCTAAATATAAAATCTCAAAGGCATGACGGAGTCCTTGCCAGCCCCTTGGGGGCCCAGCCTAGGATGGGACATATCCCAAAGGGGCGATCCAATGAAACGGACCTGACTCACGGATTAGGCCATTTACGGTCACCTAGTGTAAATGTGGACAGCTACGAAGAGAGGCACATAGGACAGCGAGATGCCCCACAAGAAATGGTTCTGGCTGGAGAAACATCTGGCCCGGGGCCCCTCCAGCAGCCTCACAGAAACAGTGTCGGTGAGGAGCATGTCAGAGACCGCAGGTCACCCAGCAAACCAGACTACCCTTACAAGAAATCTGCACTTTAACCCCAGTTCAGGAACAGGGGGTTAAGTTAAGAAAAGGGAAAAAGTGATGAGTGGCTGTCCATCAAGAAGGATGGCGCAGCACTAAATGTGTGCCTGTGTGTATGTGTGTTAAAGAGGAGGAGGGAAAAATTGGTTGTGGTTGGTATTTATAGAATCTGTCCTTTTGTCCTACCTCTATCACACCGTGCTATCCATCACACAGTCGGAGTATAGTACGCGTTGGAGATGTTGGTCAGCTGTTGATGCATGTCTGCGTAGTCCTGTTGGTTTAGAGGATTAGTGGGAATTTTCTGGGATAGAATAATCTCTTGGCTTTGATTGTTAAGAAAGAGATTGATTCTATGCTGTTTGGATTCCACATGAGGAGGTCACCAAATTTTAGAGCTGTATTATGAACTGATTGTTGAACAAAGACTAAATTTGGTTGGCCCTGTGTTCTGTGGCAGAGAATGGAAAGATCGACAGATTACAATCTCAGTTTACACAAGTGAACAATAGCCAACAGCCTGAATTACAAAGTATTAGGATAAATTCATATGTAAATATGTCAGGCTGTATACTTTTTGCTCCCATGACTTGTGTTACCATTTCTTTGTTCACGTCTATAATGAACCATTTGATCAGCGCGTCCCTCCTCCCTGACTGCGCCGCTGATCCGTGATGTGCTGAGACTTTGTCACACAATGCAGGAATCGGATCTGGCAGGAAGTAGGTCATCAGCGCTCATCATTCTCCTGTAACCGAGGCTGATAATTGTGTCAGGTGTTAACTATGACAGTCGCTCTGTCTGGCTTAGAGGCAGATCCCCGGTATTTCCAGCTGGGTGGGGCAGCAGGGGCAGGGGCGGGAGGATGGTGTGCAGAGTCATTGCTGACATATAGTGGAAGATATCAGGGTGCCATGTTGACTGACATGCAGCGGTCAAACGGATTGCTTGTGATTTGTCGCTCTGGCAGCTGGAACAGATGCGTGTGTATGTGTGTGTCTGTGTGTGTGTGTGCGCGCGCTGGAATCTGTGTGTACGTGTATACGTCTGTGTGCAAGTAAGCTTTGATACACACAGGTATGAAGACAATCTCAGTACTGTACACTCCCATCTTTGGTCTGGTCTGTACATATCAGTCTTTGGTGATTAACCAGTTTTTAGCACAGAGTAAGTGTTCATTCAGTTAAACTTCCTTCTTATTCCGTTTAGCATCAAGGACATAAATCTAAAGCCTTAACAAATACTATTCAGCTTTAGCTACATTTATTCAGTTAAGTATATTATCATTGTCTTGCAAAACCCTTTTATTTACTAATTCAACAGTTTATTTGCTTTTTCGCAACAGATACACTGCATTTTTTCTTGTGTGATAGAGAAGGATCTCACTAAACTCAAAAGCTAAAACCATGAGTAGACATTAGGCCTCTTTTCCCCTTATGGGAGACTGTGGATATGCATAGGCAGTGTTGCTACTGTCACATGTACTGTTAAGAGACCCACTGCAGCTGTAGCTACACAACCCTGCAACATAAGCCTGTTACAGCTTCCAGCTGGTACACAACTTCATACGCAAGTATCATTGCACTGTAGGAGCCATCTGTTTATCAGCTGAAGGGAAAAAGAACAAAGACTCTCGAACAAAAGGAAACCTATATTGAAGAAAAGTTGGCGATTGCTGGCTCAAATCTCCAATGGAATTTGTAAATAGCGAATTGAGTTCCACACGTTCTAATGAATTTTTAATGGTTTCTATCACATTTTAGTGGTTGTTGAAGGTCTGTGTTTTTACTGTAGTGGACAACACTGTGTATATGTCTTTGTCATGAAATCTCACTAAGAATGAGTGGTTAAAACAAAAAAACAAAACAGATTGTGTCTCAGAATCAGTTTTTCTTAAATGTTATGCAGTCAGAGCTGTTGTTCAGTATAGTAGGTGATGTGGATTATCATGTTGGTAGAGATACCCCCCCTCCCATTCCCTTTTTTTCCCCCTTTTAAATGTAACAGGAATATGTAGAGGATCTGCAGATATCAGCTTTCGGTTTTGCAGTGATGGGTTTGCCAAGCAGAAAAAACATTTTTCCATCTAAGTTGCTTCATGGGGAAAAAATGCAAAATGCCGGATTCCTCCCCATGTTCATGTTGGGTTCTTTTTTTTTTCCAGGATTATGTTCCATTGAGTAAAAGTCCTTGTTTTGCTCTTTGCTGTAGAGGAGTCAGTGCCTTCCCCTGCCTGCGGCTGGGCTTTTATTGGAGAAGTGACTTTGATGTCTATGCAAGCTCTTTTCTACCAGCTTACCAGCCTGCACCAAGTAGTTCTTTGAAATCTCATGTAGCTTGTTTTTGTGTATAGTGTTATTTAGCACCTTTTTTTTTTTTTTTTTAACTGAACCATCTGAAATGTGTGATCGCTTGTGTTGAATTGTAACAGGTACATTGTACTTGTATCATAGGAACCACATTTGTAGATTGATATTAAGTTGCTTTAGTTTCACTGAATCTATTTTTCTACTGTCACCTCAAAAGGTGCATAACAGTGGTCTACTTGGGCATCCTCAGAATAAACAGTTTGATATGATGGAATTCATTTGATCTTGGTTGAGATTGTTTAACAGGCAATGTGGACATTTTATTTGGAACATCTGTATTCACAAAACAGCTCGTGCACATCACACTCAGACTTTTTGAAAAGGTCGCAACCACAAGACAATGTAAACATAAATGTATTCAATTCAACATAAATCATATTCTGAACATTTTTGGTGGGCAGCATCATGTTCATATAAAATGTTTGCTGGAATTCTAGGTGGAGATAATAATAAAACGCATCAGTGCAGCATCTGAATGTTTTCACAGTTAAGGCATCCAAAAACTTTTCAAATAGCCCTATCAAAATTCACACGTGTTCAAGCTTCAGGATAACATTGATTGCAGCAACAAAAAAAAAGCATTTTATTTGAGAGGGATAAAAGGCTTCATTCTCAAAACTTTGCTTTCATTGGAGGCACCAGATGATGGCAGCAGCGTCAGCAGGAACTGGTCACTGGTGTCCTGCGTTTTTTCGGCGTTTCTTTCTGGCTTGCAGCTCCTCAAACAATTCATGTACGGCTTCAACTGTGACCGTCTGAGAGGCAAAGAAGGCAATGTGTTAGGTTTCACATCTGGAAGGAGCAAATGGGACTGGGTGTCCAGCAGATATGACTCAGGCCATCTTTTCTCACCTTTCCTTCCGCAGCGCAGCGCTCTAAGAACGCACTGATGGAGGTTGTCAGCTCGTTGAAACCTGAGGGGACAAGTTGGCTGATTAAAGCGCATCAGTCGGGTTAACCGTCGCCTCAAACGGCCGCGTCAAAAAACGGATCCCACTTCTTTTATAACCCCCCCCCATGCTCACCGTAGATGACCTCCAGCTGCTGCACGCGGTCCATTGAACTCGTCAGCGCCATCAGTGGGTGCTGCCCGAACGGCTCGGCCAGTCCTTTCTGCTCGTAGGCCAGAATGGTGTCCGACTGATCCATCAGAAACTGCACATCTGCGGCCACATACGCTTTCTGCACAAGAGCAACAGGCAGGGGACGGACACGCTAAAAATCCCTTCCGCTGGATATTACACGAAGAGCGAACCTCAGCAAAAACTGTGCTACGGCGCCCTTTTGGGGAACGCTTCATTCTAATCCCGACAAGTATTTGTTGGCCTACCTTGCAACTGGTGCAGGTGCAGAGCTCAGAGCGCCAACTGTAGGGCCAGAACACGGCCCCCTGTCTCAGCCGGTCTAAGCCCCGTGCCTGCAGCCCCCTCAGCCTGCACTCCCCGGTCTGGGTCGGGGCCTGCAGAGGGCTGGCCGTCATTTCGTTGTAGGTTCGTTTACAAGAAGAACTCCTGGTTTGGGCATCCTACGGAGCAAATGACAAACGATGGGGTGGGTTAACTTTGTTATGCTGGCAAGAGAGAAACACTTAACAGCTGGGCATTGCAAAGCATGGCCACGTCGCCATGCAGACGTGTCTAGGGAAGCTTCTCAAGGTGACTGACATGGTGAGGTGGTTTTTGCGATGAAAATCCCCAGTTTAAATAAGCTGTGCTGCATCCGCCGGTCAAAGCTGATAACGGAGCAGCAGAAACAGTGCCTCATGGGTCAATTCTTCTCTAATTACCCACAGGAGGGGGAATCATCCAACAGGGAATGGAGCCTGCTCCTCTTTCTGTGGGCTACCCTTTACCCTCCAGCTCCACCTAGTGGTGAGCTGGCATTAAAAGAAAAAACTACATCCAACACCTCTTCCCTGCCCAGAGGAATGAAGGATGGAATTATATTCACAAGCAGTCACTCTGAAAGAAAAGGTGTAGTCTCCATGTCTGCAGCCCCTTTTGCGTATTTAGGTGCTGTATAGTTTTACATTATTTGAAAAGTGAGCATGAGGAGGGGGTAATTTCGTCCCTATAGGACTCCAAACACAAACTCTGAATCTGCCATTTGATCAGCTGTTTCTCACCTCAAACTTATGTGAATCACTGGAAGTCGACTCCCCCTTTGTACTTTGTTGTTGCTCGCTTTTCTCCTCTTCACCATCGACCTCTACATCCTCATCCTCCTCGGGATGACTAACGGCGATCACGGGTGGTACTGAGTGAGAAGGTTGCATTAATTCCTCTGACTTAAACTGCGACAGGTAAGATCTAACGAAGATGTCGGTCCAAGTTTGCTTTTTTGTGATTTGAAGGGTTGGAAAACGACTTACCTGCAAAGTGAGCAGCGTAGGTCCACAAGAAAGGAGCTTTGTTCATGCAGGCTTCGCACACCATCTCCTGCAGCTCCTCGGGTTCAACTACAGTGCAGCCCAAGTGCTGTTTTGCACGGACACAAAGAGCAGAGGCGTTACAGATGGGGTTGACTGTGGACCAGAATCAAAACAGGAGTCAGAAGTCCTCTCAAGCTTACCCTGCTGTGAAACCAGTCCTCACAGACGACGCACTGAATCATCTCATCTTCATCCTGTTAAAAATATTAGCCTTTAACCTAAAACGATCGTCTTCATCCAAACAATCCGATTGACTCCGAACAGAAAGGAGTACCTGCTCGTCCGTGTCTGGGTATGGGCGGTCACATGTGCAGTAGCAGCCTTTGAAGTTGTGATTGTAGCGATTTCTAATGTTTTCTTCATCTTTGGCCTGTGCAAAGAAAAATGCAGTTTACATGTTTAAAATGCAGCAATCGGGACCAAACCAGCTGATATACGGAGGCGCAGAGGACTCACAGGTGTCAGCTGGCACTGAAAATCACCAAATTTTCCGTTTCCACAATCACAGCGGAAATTCCTGAAAGGAAGCCAGAGAGACCAGTCAGTCAAGGACAGCTTTTTGCTGACTATCAAAACAATAAAGAGGCCCTTTTCCCCCGATTACCTCTTAGTATACAGTTCAAAGATATCATGTCCATCGTGGCATTTATTGGCACAGGCCAGACAAACCCCAGCAGGCTCTGCGGCGCTGGGATTACATGTGTTGCAGGCAAAAACTGCCTGTCTCTTCACGTAACCCTGGGGGAAAAAAACAACATATGCATTCAGCAATCAAACAAACTAGTTAACACATTTCCTCGTGCAAACGCTGTATCCTTTGTGATATATCCCCACGACCGCATTGGTGCTTGCCCCATTCAAACCAGTTCAAAATAAAACTATTGAAATGTTACAAATCCACACACAACGCGTGCAATAACCAATAATACACAATGTCAGTCTGCGTTTTTTGGTGCTTGTATTGGGACAAACTGGGCGACACAAGCGCCATTGATACGGTAAAGGAGGGCTTTCTTACCCCGGAATAGGAGCAGTTGTCTGGGTCGCTTCCAGCCAGAACACACAAAGCCTGCTCGAGCTCCTCCGCGGAGACCTGGGAATCGTCGTCGTCGAAGTTGTGTTTGCACTCTGCCATTCTCTAAATGAAGGGAAAGAGGACGAAGTTTAATTGAAACAGGCAATCAGGTCCTGGACTCAGTACAGCGCAACAATGCTGTTGACAAATGAATATTCCGGGCGGGAGTTTGGCGGAGACCACGTGGAGGAAGTGACGTAGCTGATGCTTATCAAGCAACATTTGGTCAATGGACAGAATGCTTTTTGAATGAATAAATCTTGAATTTTTGTTTTAGGTTTTAATTATAAATATCTTATCATTTCATTTCATTGTTTGAAGTTCGATTTTAAATGACTGTTAAGTAACATTTCTTCAAATAATTTGAACTGGACTCGAAACAAACTACTGTCGCTAGGCAACCGAGTCTGTATGGGAAATAATTTAACAAAATATATGATCAAATACAAAAGGAATATAAAACTGAAACCAGTTTTGAGTACATAATAGCTCTTGCCTATTTCTTGCTACATTCGTTAAGAGTATATCACACAAAATACATTTACGAAAAAAAAATATTTTGACACAACATATTTGTAGTCTTCTCTCCGATTAGCTTTCATCCTAACGTGTTTAAAAATGTACTATGTATATATATATATATATTTATCATTAAAAATACAAATAGTTTACATACCCTCTCCGATGTTGTATAGGTGCACTACTTCAACAACTTGGACAGTGTCAAGCCTGTTGTGTATTTTTTAAAATACTTGTTTTTATTTTTCAGTGTCACAACATTCTTCATGCATGAAAGTAACTTTTGTTCCATAAGTTTATTTACAAAAACTGACCAAACATTGTACGAGGAGAAGGATTGGGATATCTAATCTCTTAGAGAGGATTTGATAGATAGATAGATAGATAGATAGATAGATAGATAGATAGATAGATAGATAGATAGATAGATAGATAGATAGATAGATAGATAGATAGATAGATAGATAGATAGATAGATAGATAGA